CCTATACAATTTTGGAACATTTTATATTATATATTAAAAATCGATTTTTGGATCGAAATGATCGGTTTTCCCAAGAATCGAGCCGGAAAAAGCGAACAACCCCCCATTGTACATCCTCCGTTCTTCTGTAGAGTTGTCTCAACCCTCTTGGGTTTTCAGTTAAATTGGTTTCGCGAACGGTTTCGAGTGTCATCCATCTTTCTTCTTGAATAGGTCGACGAGGGGGTCGATAGAGAGACGGACTGCTAATAAGGGAAACCGGACGAGGAATCGAACAAACCTCGAGGAAACTATTTACGGAGCAATATATTTCGTAGGTGAATTGATTAAGTAACTGGGACAACTGAAATAGAATAGGGTAACGAGCCCTTGAACAAGAAGAACCGAAACGAATTAAGCCGCACGAAATGGAAAACGAAATTCGAGCCACCGGGTCAACAAAGACACGATCCGCTCTTCGGCCTCTCTCTCTCCCTCTCTCGCTCTCTCGCGCGCGCGCTCTCTCTCATTTTCATGAATAAGTAATGCCACCAATTTATGATATTATCTCCGTCGTCCGATTATTTTCTACTAATGGAAAATTCATTCCGCCCGTTCCGATTCGAGCTACACGAAGATTCCATGTACCGTTCCTAATTGCCGATCCTTTCTTTCCTTGAACCGCTGATCCTCGGCTCGCGTTTCATTCAACCGCGACCTTAAAACAACTGCGACCATTCGAATCCTTTGAGGCCTTTCGATTCTCCTTCGATTTCGTTGTTGTTATCATTTGTTTATTTGTTCATTTATTTATTTATTCATTCGTTTATTTATTTATTTATTTAGTTACGGGATGTAAGACTCTAGATCCAATCGAATTTTTTATTCGTTTGTGAACGTGTATTATATAATATATATAAAATATAAATATAAAATACAATCTAATATGAAATATAATAAAATATACATTATTAAACAATACAAATATTAGCAAAATGTAATAAACGATATAATGAATAGGGTTGTTCTAGGGCTAATAAGTAACAACGGTTAACACACAGTGGTATTGGTAAAATACTTCGAAGTGCTTCCGACGAGAGATCAGGCTATTCGCTGAACTCGTTTTCCAAACTCCTTTCCGCGATCGTGCGATTTTTCTTTTTCGGATTGTTTATTTTTCATTGATTCACATCGATCGAACGGGAAGAGTTCGAAACTCGTGGACCGCGCAAGGCGTGATTCTCTTTAAAGTTACGGCTAGCTGGCCGTAGTAGTATCTTGAAAGGGATGCGGCAGCGTAAGCGGTCCCATTCATAAACCTAAAATCAATGACGAATTGGTGAAAAGAAATCCGTGGCCGGGGATTGGCCGCGGCTCGTCGCCATGATGGTATCGCCGGCCAATCGTCGACCGTGTCTTGTTTTCCCGTAGTCGTGCACTCGTGGCAAATTCTCTCTCTCTCTCTCTCTCTCTCTCTCTCCCTCTCTCTCTCTCTCTCTCCCTCCCTCTCTCTCGCGAAAATTCCATCGCTCTCGCAGCGATTTCTTAGCAATTATTTTCGGAGACAGGTCTCGCACCTGCGACCCTTCAGGGAAACGTTAATTAAAATNTCTCTCTCTCTCTCTCCCTCCCTCTCTCTCGCGAAAATTCCATCGCTCTCGCAGCGATTTCTTAGCAATTATTTTCGGAGACAGGTCTCGCACCTGCGACCCTTCAGGGAAACGTTAATTAAAATTCTTATTCGCGTTTTACCTGCCGGAATCGGAACGCTTCGAGGGGCTCCTTTCGCTTTTCACCGGCTAAACGGGCGATTGTTTAATTACAAACGCAACGGAGGACGGATTAACGCGACCAGCGGCTTTCCGCGGATTTTTATTCAAACGAAGAAATAAATGAAAATGGTTTGCTTTACCTTTCCTTTGCCAGCACAACGGGTTAATCCGCATTGTTGTCGAATCGAATCATTTACTGTTGACTCGAAAGAGTATTACGACGAAGGTTTAAAACGTAATCCACTTTGGATGTTGCTAACAATTTAGTTACGCTCGCTGTTAAGTTTATTTAATAGGCTTTTTAACGACCGAACTGTGCCTGATAATTACAAGAGAAGTTGCATCCTCTTCATTTAAATGATTATACAGAAACTTGTTACGTCATATTAATATAGAACAATTTTAGTGTTAATAATATAGCGATAGGCAATAATATAATAATAGTGTAATAATGTAGAAATAATAAGCGATCAAGAATAATTAAATAAAGTGAAGACCCGAGAAAACAATAAAGAATAATACAGTATAAAAACCGTTGGCACAAAAAGAAAAAAAGGATCGGTATAAATAGAAAGAGCACGAGGAACGAGAAATTAAGGTGGAAAACGTGTGCTGGTCGACGGACCCGTGAAAAATATAAATTACTAATCACAGTGGAAGGAGTTCGAAGGAGTATCGCATGGAATTCGAAACGACTTTCGTCGAAGATAGGGATCGGTAATCAAGAAATCGAGGAGAATCTGGCCGGGTGCTTGAGAGCCACCCGGTGTGCAAACCGGTGATTATCATTCTATTAGATCTCGGTGCCGCAATCCGGCAAGTTTGTCTAGTTTTTAAGACAAATGGCGCATTGCGTGCACGAGGCAGGCGCAGTGCGCTCCGGTTAAACTGCGGGAGGGTACGAGGGAAGAAACTTGAAAAGCGGATTTTCCTATCTCGCGATCGCGTTTCGGCGGATCCCGCGCGGCTCCCGAAACCCCGAAATACCACGAAATGCCACGAGATACTATGAAATACTATGAAATACTATGAAATACTATGAAATACTATGAAATACTATGAAATACTATGAAACGCCCATGGAGTACCATGAAATGTGCCGTGGAATCCTTTAAAATCGCGGCTCGCGTTTCCGGAAACGCGAATTTCAGGGCGGCGGCTAGGCAGGGCGACGGCTGGGATATAACGTGTCTCCCGCGTTTGTTGATCGCGAGAATAATTCAACGAAAGGAGGCCTCCCGACGAAAATTGTTATCATCCATTTCGGAAATGGAACCGGAAACGCGCGACGTGTTTTATTGTTTCACGGCTCTCCCGGCAAATAAAAAAGACGCGCTAGGAGGACGGCGGGGTGGGGGAGGGGGTGGAAAAACTGGGTGAACCCCTCGGGCACACAGCCATCCTTCATTTACAAACAAAGGTTCAACGGAAAAAGTTTTCCAACCGAGGACAATGGAGGCAGAGGGGAAAAAAAACTGTTCCGACGGTTCTCGTTTTTCCGATCGTTATGAATGAAATTTCGTGATTTCAATTTCGCGGCCGCCCCGGCCGCCGAAGGAACTCATTCGAAATCCCCTCGAACCACGGCGAATTAAACGCAGACTTGACTGAAAATATTTCAACTGAGAAATACAAATTGCTTTTTGCGAGCGTCGCTTCTCCTCAACTGTGTTTCGCGTATGCTGCATCCGAGGTTGTAATTTATTCCTGTATTCCGCGATGAATTGTTTTAACGAAATACTAGTTGTGAAGTAATTATTGAAACACTGCTTATCATTTAAAGTAAAATTTGCCCGACTCGCGGCAATTTGAATTTTAAGCGTTTTATTAAATAAAACGTTTCGGTAATGCAGAAGTGATTTGTAGTAATGCAAAATATGATTTGTGCCTCGTTCGAGCGCGAAGGGTTGATCTATCGACGTGTTAGAGTAAGCAGAAGTATAGTGAGAAGACGGATCGCAGATCGCCGGGTATATTTTTGTTTATCGGCTCGCTGGATCGCGATAAATCGTTCGCGGAAGGAGTTACGAGTTTAAGAAGTTTGTGTGCTCCGGTTTTGCAGGTCCGTTCAACTGAGGGCAAAGGGGAGCAAAACGTGGCGGATTCGGTGACCCCTCTCGGCTGTGACCACAGGCGCACAGGGAATTAGGGCAAGGAAATGCGTGAATATAAAATAGTGGTGTTGGGCAGTGGAGGTGTAGGCAAGTCCGCACTCACTGTCCAGTTCGTTCAAGGAATCTTCGTCGAGAAGTACNGAAATACTATGAAATACTATGAAACGCCCATGGAGTACCATGAAATGTGCCGTGGAATCCTTTAAAATCGCGGCTCGCGTTTCCGGAAACGCGAATTTCAGGGCGGCGGCTAGGCAGGGCGACGGCTGGGATATAACGTGTCTCCCGCGTTTGTTGATCGCGAGAATAATTCAACGAAAGGAGGCCTCCCGACGAAAATTGTTATCATCCATTTCGGAAATGGAACCGGAAACGCGCGACGTGTTTTATTGTTTCACGGCTCTCCCGGCAAATAAAAAAGACGCGCTAGGAGGACGGCGGGGTGGGGGAGGGGGTGGAAAAACTGGGTGAACCCCTCGGGCACACAGCCATCCTTCATTTACAAACAAAGGTTCAACGGAAAAAGTTTTCCAACCGAGGACAATGGAGGCAGAGGGGAAAAAAAACTGTTCCGACGGTTCTCGTTTTTCCGATCGTTATGAATGAAATTTCGTGATTTCAATTTCGCGGCCGCCCCGGCCGCCGAAGGAACTCATTCGAAATCCCCTCGAACCACGGCGAATTAAACGCAGACTTGACTGAAAATATTTCAACTGAGAAATACAAATTGCTTTTTGCGAGCGTCGCTTCTCCTCAACTGTGTTTCGCGTATGCTGCATCCGAGGTTGTAATTTATTCCTGTATTCCGCGATGAATTGTTTTAACGAAATACTAGTTGTGAAGTAATTATTGAAACACTGCTTATCATTTAAAGTAAAATTTGCCCGACTCGCGGCAATTTGAATTTTAAGCGTTTTATTAAATAAAACGTTTCGGTAATGCAGAAGTGATTTGTAGTAATGCAAAATATGATTTGTGCCTCGTTCGAGCGCGAAGGGTTGATCTATCGACGTGTTAGAGTAAGCAGAAGTATAGTGAGAAGACGGATCGCAGATCGCCGGGTATATTTTTGTTTATCGGCTCGCTGGATCGCGATAAATCGTTCGCGGAAGGAGTTACGAGTTTAAGAAGTTTGTGTGCTCCGGTTTTGCAGGTCCGTTCAACTGAGGGCAAAGGGGAGCAAAACGTGGCGGATTCGGTGACCCCTCTCGGCTGTGACCACAGGCGCACAGGGAATTAGGGCAAGGAAATGCGTGAATATAAAATAGTGGTGTTGGGCAGTGGAGGTGTAGGCAAGTCCGCACTCACTGTCCAGTTCGTTCAAGGAATCTTCGTCGAGAAGTACGACCCGACGATCGAGGACAGTTACCGGAAACAGGTCGAGGTCGACGGTCAACAATGTATGTTAGAAATCCTAGACACAGCCGGAACGGTGAGTTTTACACACGCTCATTTTTCTCTAACAATGCTTCTCTAATCAGCCTGCGAAACTGCGACGAGTCGATTCAGTCGATCGCGTTCCCGCTGGAACTTTTCCTCCAGCCACGATCATTTATCTGCTACGGTAGAATTTTTTGCAGAATTTTCTTTTAAATGTTCGTAGAAAAATTGCGGATTATTTACTTCGGTAGTTTAGCTCTAAATCCATTTATGTCTACCTTTGTTTTATCACTGGAACAAAGAATTAATCGGTGAAGGTAGAAAAAGTAACGAATATACTTTTCTTTATTTGAAAAAAGAAACGCGATGGCAGTGAATAAAGTTACGCTATTTTCGCAATTATTTGCAATTATCGCTATTAAGCTACCAAAGCAGTAAATATTTAATGTAAAAGTTTCCGTAATTCGGCGACCGAGACTGGATCCGTTCGAAGTTTCGCAATTTTGTCGTGTCACGACCTTGGAAGTTGGCAGGATGGTAACGTGAGACGATTTGTTTGTCCAGGAACAATTCACAGCCATGAGGGACCTTTACATGAAGAACGGGCAGGGCTTCATCCTAGTTTACTCGATAACGGCGCAGTCCACGTTCAACGACCTGCAGGACCTCAGGGAGCAAATCCTGCGGGTGAAGGACACAGATGACGTACCGATGGTGTTGGTGGGCAACAAGTGCGACTTAGAAGACGAGAGGGTAGTGGGCAAAGAGCAGGGCGTCAACCTTGCCCGACAATTTAACTGTGCGTTCATGGAGACCTCTGCCAAAGCCAAAATTAATGTTATCGATGTGAGTACAATTGCTTTGGCCCTTTGTCCTCCGTGAGACCCTCGTCGAGGCGGACTGAAATCCGAATCACGTGCCATTTGATCCAGCTGTGACCGTCGAAAGGCCCTCCGCATAGGTTTCTTCGGATACAATTGTTCTGCAGTCCCCATTGCTCTGCGGCCAATTTCTTCCTATCCTTTACAGTTGCTCACGAAACTGATCATTAGACTGAGATTTGTCTGCATTGATGATAAAAATGAGCAGATTAAATGCAAAGTGACAAAAATAAGTGTACGTGGTATCTTGCAATTAACGAAGAGAATTTTTATGCACAGTAAAAACTGTCTGCCTTAATTGCAAGATACAGCAGTACTGCGTACGCATACGTTTTTCTTATTCATAATTTAAATGAGTTGATGGGGATATAACAGTGTTTTTAAATTCTTTAAACGCGTTCTCACTGTTTTGCATTTAAATTACTCATTTTTCTCTTAAATGCATACAGATCCGCAGTCTACTAATTGCACACGCCATTCAGAACGCTTTATCCGACGATTGGGTAGTTACAGTTTAGAACAGTGTAAGGATTAAAAGCATTTCAACGCGTGAATGTATTAAGTTTTAATCTATCGGAACGATCAAAGGAAGAATTAACTTGCCACTCGTGTTTTTATACATTGCAATTGATTCAAACAATTTTTATTTTGCAGAAAATTCAGCAGTCTAGTGATCAGTTTCGTGAGCCACTGTGTGTGTGCTTCAAACATTACACTCACGATCCCTTAATGTGTCGCTGTGGGACACTGTTCGGATAGTAGAACGTTGAGACAGAGGTTCCACGAACGATATATATATATTTATCCTGGCAGAGTAGCAGAGTCATTCGACTGTCGCGGCGAGTTCGTAAAAACCACTGGCGTGCTGTTACCAAATAACAGTAGTCTGTTCAGGAGGCCATTGTTGGTTGACAATTAGCGTGACGTGTGGGAGTTCAAGACCGTTACGAAGGCCGAGATATTCTAATTGAATGTGGGAATGCAATCGCCTAAGTGTGGGAGTTGCACTCCAGGCCGCGCGCAGCAGAATTCTCAGCTTCTAGCGTGTAACGTTTGACACGCAGCTCGTAGATAACTAGCTGCTTTGAAACATAGAGCAATCTCCGACAGAAAAATTCGTTTTCGTGAATTTCGAGGGCCGTTGCCGAACGAATTCCAAGCCAGCGAAATGATAATCGCGATCGTTCTCTGTCTTCACTGTTACTTCCATTAATATTCTTACACAATACTAGTTCCTTATTTTCTGCTTTGTATAAACACATTTTTAATCAAGGGTTGTCCCATTTATTGTAAGTTCTGGAAGATTTCAGTGTTAATATTTCATGGCAAATCTATTTTATTTAATAACACCATTTAATGGTTTGGAAATATCAGAAATAATTGTTTCAAGCAACGCTGTATTTGCCGAATAAACTGGTTTAAAGCATTAATAAATAATAATAATAACGTCACATCACGTTTTGAACTTATTGGTGTTTTTTCTAATTCTTTGGTATATATGACAACTTTTGATTGAAAATGTATCGCACTAATAATTGTTACTGTTAGAAACAAATTATGATGAATACACGAATCACGCGCTACCTTATGCGAAGTAAAATTGTATTAATGGGAGTAACAATGTACCCGCAGAAAAATTCGTGATCAACCAATGACCCAGTTGCGACAGAAGTTTCAAGGGTTAACATTTTCGCAAGTGAATCTACGCGATTCGAACGCTGCCGCAATTGTAGCGAATGTAGAAATGAAAAGAGAAGCTTTTTTTAATACCAGTTGCACAGTTTCCAGTTTTACAAAGCTGCGCAACGACGTAGATTTCCGTGGTCCACGGAGATTCTGTGGAAAATAGTTTGCTGGAATTGCCGTTTCGAGGCTGGCCTCCTGTTGCAGGGACTTCGACTGAAAATATTTACCACCTCGAGGACATTTCCTCTCGTGAAAGGGCGTGTTCTTCTCTTGACGAATCCTCGGCAAACCACGCAGGCAAATGCTTCTGAATGAGCCCGGCTGTCTCTCCTCTCTACCCCGAAACAAACATTCGTCTCTCTCCTCTGCAATTTGATTACTTTTGTCGTGCCCGTACTCCGAAAGTGCAATCCAGCTGTGTAATTGGAGCACGGTTTTCTTGGCGGCTTTGAATGGGACTGTGAATCGCACGCGCGCGCGCGCACACGCGGCCCTTGTTTCGAGGACGACGATACGCGCTAATTATTTGGCTCGGATAAAGCGAGGAGGACAGAAAAATTGAAAGTTTCATCGGCCGCAATTAGTGGACCACTTTAACGGTCGTTCGGGAGACAATCGCAGTCGCGGGAATCGATAACAGTCTGCCGATAGTATAGAAAACCACCCCCCCCCCCACCCTCGAACGGCGGATCATTATTCGAAAATCAATTTAATTTGCATCCAACCACCGGCAGCATCCTCGAAACGAACCACGGTCTTGATTCTTCACAGAGACATTCAAAGACGGTTGTTAATCATCCCCGTAATTAAAGGTGTCGACTGACGTCTCCCTCCGGTTCGAACGCAACTTATAATTGGAGCGTGGGACTTTAGAAAGATTCACTTTGTTACAGACGGTTTCAAAGAAGCAGGAATTTCAATCGTTCAGTGTTGCTTCCTACTCGGATCAACGAATGGAAATGAATTTTACTTTGCACTGTTCTTATTAACCAAGGTCTGCACTTGGAGGAACCTTTTCTTTACTCGAATCGACAAATGAATATCAATTTTATCATGAAGCGCGGTAGGACCTTTATCCGAACTAATCAGGAGAAATGGATAATGGCATATTATAGAGTAAATTCACTTTAGGGGATGAAAATCCAGAGTTGGGTGAAAAATAATCTGATTAATGATGAACGATTATAAATTATTATTGGCTATTGCAGATTATTATAAATTAGTTGTAACTAATGGATTATAATCGTTGATCATCGATCAGATTATCATCAATCACCTGTGGCAGAATGTTCAACTAATAAATAATTCGGGTAATCGTAGGTTCGTACAGTCGAGGAGATTCTACTGTATCAGAAATACGTTGAGCTAATTATTAGTGTATCTTTCTCAGCATCCATGTTTCTTGTTCAGTGGATGAACCCGTAGTTCACAACCCCTCGATGATCGAAGTGTGTTTCCCTCGTGGTAACCCAGTTCTCGAAAGCTGCCCCGCCCCCTCGCTCGGCCAAAAGCCGGAAACATCGTTAATGACCAATGTTTAACGGCTGCTTGCAGATCTTCTACGACCTGGTTCGGCAAATCAACAAAAAGTCGCCAGAGAAGAAGCTGAAGCAGAAAAAGAAATCGCTGTGCCTACTTCTGTAAAGTAGGGGACGTAGCAGAAACGCCCATACTCTCCTGCGTGGACAAGGAAGGAAGAAAGAAAGGAAGGAAGGAAGGAAGGAAAGAAAAAAAGAAAGAAGGGAAAAGGAAGCGAGTCAGAGAACCGGAAATACCAGTGGCGTGGAGGAGTGGGAGGAGGAGGAGGAGGAGGACAACAGGGGTTCCAGGCGACTACCGAGCAAACACTAGCGACAAGGTGGAAGGGGGGCTGAACGGAATCATAAGTAAATAGAGGCAGACACAGCGTGGAACGGACACGGGGAATACACATAGTCGTAGAACACCCGGAACAGAAAGGTGACAATGACGCGACGACCTGGGAAAGAAAGCGACAGAAAGGGAAGGAGACAGAGAGAGTACGGGGAGGAGGGTGGAGGAGACAGCGAGGAAAAACTAATAATGTTGTATATACGTTGGTCCCGGGGTGGCTCGTGTGCACGCGCAAACACAGGCGCACAAAGAGTTTTAGTGTTAACGAGACCCCGTGGCGTCGGTTATCATTGTAGGCGTTTTGCATTAAACAAGAAAAAAAGCAAGTAAATGATTATGATAATGATGCAGATAATGATGATGATGATGATGAAGATACGATGATGATGAAGATGATGATGATGATGATGGTGATGATGATGGTGATGATGGTAATGATGATGGCGAGGACGATAGATGAAGAGGATGTGGCGGCAGAAGAGGAGGAAAAGGAGAAGAAGCAGGCAGAAGAAGAAGAATCTGATTAATTAATGATAGTATATAAATATATATATATATATATAAATATATAAATATATTTAGGAGAAAAGGATGGAAAAAGCAAAAAGAAAATGTTTGGACGTGCGCGTGCGCAGGCCACCAGCCCCCATGCATCGCCCGCCGCGCACCTCTCTCTTATATATAATATAATAATTATACATAGACGGTACACACACACACACACGATGATTATTATTACTATTATTATTATTATTAATTATTATCAAAGCATCAAAATATTCATAAGTTATATCAACCGTTTGTTTCTCGAACAATATATGTTTTTTCTATATCTCTCCGTATTAAAGCAAATAATAAAAAATCTCTCAGTGAATGTTAACAAAAAAAAAATTTATGAAAAAAAAAATAAGAACGAAAAGCCCAGGCTGGTGGTTGTCCTCCTTGCTTCTACACCAGACGTCTCCCAATTTCCCTTGCCACTGTGTAACTCCGATGACGGGCTGAGTGGTTTAAAACAGTTGGAAAATTTCTTTTCCTCCATAACGAAACTACGGAGGAAATCCTATAAATTAGCTTTCAATCATCGTAGACTGTATTTAAACAATTTCCTCTACAACGTAGTCTCTCTCTCTCTCTTTCTCTCTTCTTCTTCGATTAACCGACGATTCGTTGAATGTAGCGCGATCAGAGAAAAGCGTCCGTAGAAAATCGCGACGCTACGGAGAAATCGATCCCGAAAGACTGCAGCCTGCGTTTAAACCATTCAGGCGTTCCCGATTGCATCGATCCTCGATGGACGGGCGTGTTTCGGTTGTATTTTCGCGTCGGCTCCTACTATCCCCCCCGATGTCCGTATGTTAACGAAAAATGTTTATGCATCGGCAGGCCTTTCCCACGCGCGATGGAGTCACCGAGAGAGCTCCGTTAGTTCCGTAGAAGAAGACTCGGCGGAGGAACCAGAAAACTATCTAAGCAGGACTGAGAACTTGTAAAGTAGCTAATCGAGGAAAAAGTGTACAATAGATGTCAGCAGCACACAAAGGAGCCACTCGTGTACATATACATATACATATACATATATATATATCAAAATATATCCCCCAGTTGACCAACGTCCGCAAGAAGCCCCATCGAGCATGTACAAAGAAAGAGATATCCTACAACAACAGCCCCGGAGATGATGATGTCGCCTACCAAACGAGACGGCACCGCATCGTTGCTACCGCGAGGCTGCCGATAGCGATACCGTTGGGGCTTGCAACCCTCCACGTGGCGGCGCTACTGGTCACATTGCAACAGTTGTCCATCGCCTCCTGGAGCAGCCTGGGGTAGTACTCGTTCCAGAAGTCGAGCGCCTTGTAATCGACGTCGTTCCCGTCGCTCATGTCGATGTTCCTGTCGATGATCAGGATACCGGGCTTCTCCTCGGTGTACGGCTCCCATTTATTGTTCGTGAGCGAGGGGTTGCCCGACCTGGCGAAGCTTGCCAGCATCATGATCATCACCTCGGCCATCTGTTTGTCGCCGAAGTTCCACTGGATCGAGGTGCCGGGTACCAGGGGCAGGCCCCAGACGAACGGCAGCTCGAACATGTGAGGGACACCGACCCACTCGGGCACGTCGTTGGTGATGTACTGGGTCTTGGGCCGATAGTCGAACCTGTAGACGAACGCGGGCTTCTCGCTGCCGACCTTACCGGCCAGCAGAGTCAGCCCGGCGGCGAAGTTCTTCTCGGTTAGCAGGTCCAAGTATCTGTCCCGCAGGACGCTCTGGTTCCTGCTCGGCGGATGCGGCTTGTAGAAGAACAGCACCGCGTCGGCCACCGTCTCGGGCTTGGTCTCGCAGGTCGAGTTGTCCTCCATGCACGAGATCGCCGAGAGGAACTCGTCGTTGATCAGCATCTCGAACTTGCTCGGGGACAGCTTGCCGTCCGGGTTGCCCTTGCCCAGCGACTCCATGTACGCCAGGGCCTGCTCGTTCTTGGTGTAGCCGACCAGCAGAGGCACGCTGTTCAGCTGACCGGTCTCCAGGGCGTCCCGGGGGTGCATCGGCAGGAACGGCTCCGTCTGGTTGGTCGTCTCGGCGTCCACTATCGGCCCCCACGTCTCGATGTCCGAGGACTCGCGCACCAGGATGTTCACCTCCACCCGGCGAAGACACTCCATCAGCGCGGACGTCGGACGCCGGTAGCAGCCGAACTTCTCGGCGATGATGTCCACCACCGGCAGCTCCGCCCGGGGCGAGCCCACCGAGCTGATCGCGTCCCCGCTCATCGCGATCGCCTTCGAGAACTTGCCCTTGCTCATCGGACTGATCAGATGCAGGCCCACGCTGATCGCGCCGGAACTGTGCCCGTAGATCACCACGTTCGACGGGGACCCGTTGAAGTACTGGATCCTCTTCTGCACCCAGTCCAACGCCGCGATCTGGTCCAACATGCCGTAGTTACCGGGCGCCTCCGCGTCCGTCGTCGTGAAGTAGCCCAGGATGTTCAGCCGATAGGCCACCGTGACCACTAGCACCTAGAACCGGTTGCGTAGCCGTTAATCGTAGAGTTTAAGATAGACCCTTCGAATGGGGCGCGGCAGGCTCTCCTATACCACGCTGTCCAACGACTTTCGAGCATCCGCGTTCTGCTAAACGACCGGACGATTTTTCTCTTGAACGAGAACGTCGAGACAAGCCGCCGATAGACTGCGGATCTTCGTGCGCTAATCATCTTGATTAGAGAATTGTATTAACACGTTGAGCGCCGCGTCGGTCACACATGAATGACGCTGATTTTTTACTAATTTTGAAATGTCATTTTCATTGTAATATATTCGGACAAACTGAATTTGTCTAGGATGCGAAAGAGTTCCAATGTCGTCCACTATGATCGATTTTAACGTTCTAGTTTCTGTTTAATTAATTAAAGCGCTTTCCCCACGTGGAAATTTTAGTGATCGATCGTCAACGCTGAACGTGTTAAACGCGAATTAAATAGAAACGTTATCTCTCCTCGTCTTAATAATTTCTACTGAATTCAGAATAACGTGGGAACACTCTTCAAGTTTTTCTAATGTTTTTTCGCGGTTTTATATATGTATCGTGCTTAAAGCTCGTCTTCTTTTTTTATCGTGAACGCATTAAGTCCGCAGTCTAGTTGATTAGCAAAATCGCGAAACAGGATGTTGGCCAGCGTTATTGTTAAAGTTGAGGAGTTTCCGACGAGCTCGTTCGGTAAATTAGTCTAGAGAATGGTCCGAGTAGATCGAACGAGGATCGAAACTAACGAATATCGACACGATTTAGGAATTACAAAACGCGCGCTGCTCGCTGACGACCACGAACCAGTCAGCGTGTCCAGTTTAGTATTTACTCGAGAACCCCGTGGTGTCATTCCGTGTTCTATCATAGATTTTCCAACATGCTACGAATTACTTGTTCCGGATAGCGTATTTATAGTATGGAGTGTTTCCAACCGAGAATAAAGCATTTACAAAAAGGAGAGACAATCATTTTATCCGAGCGTGATTTATTCTCTTTTTAGAATTGTAAGGAAACGCGAAAAGGTGCTCTTCTCGTGTTCTCGCTTTCTCAATGTAACGCGCGCGCCCACGCTTTTTTCTTTATTTTTTCACGATGCTCTCTCGCGTTCGGAATCTTGCCCCGTGAACGAAGAACGGCCATAGTATTAGCATTTACAGCGGTGCATAAAGCATGCATCATGGATGGGCACCGTAATGCGATTCCAAAGGTTGAATTTACCTCGAACCGGCACGCAACAAACACCCTAATCCCGTTCGATTTTCTGTCGACTTTTTCCGCGGCTCTCTCGCCTAATCGATTCCGGATCAGCGGCTCTCGCTCCCCGAGAATTTCCGCCAAGGTCGTAGCATCGCGGCGCGATTTCTATTAATTGTTAATGTAAGAGAGAGACGCGATTTACCTTCTGCTTGTTGACGAAGACCGACGCGTCCCAAATGGCGGGCGTGCCGGTGTTGAAGTCACCACCGTGGAACCACACCATCACCGGCCATCCGTCGTCCGGTTTGTTTCCTGCGGACAGAAAATTCGTTGAAATCTCTCGTCGTTCTTCGCGGAGGCTACACAAACGTTCCTTTGAATGATTGCTTAATGTTTCGTTGCTCGGTTCCAGAGGCACAGATGAGAAAATAGACTCGTCGATCGATCACGCATTCTGATTAAAAAGAAACCCGAGAGAGAGACGAGCAGAGGCGACCGGCCACTGGAACTCGAGCAATTCATGGACTCGCGTTCGCACTAAATGAGCCTGCATCCCCGGTTCCGGTTGCACCGGCGGCGAATCGATCGCGACACCATTTGCATAGCGTTATCCCTTGCTCGCCATGAGACAATCGCTTGCAGGGCTCTTCGAAGCCTCGGCGACCTGATCCGAGGTTAAATTCAACGAGCAGATTACACGCGGAAGAAGCAACAACGACAACAACGGAGATCAGCAGGAAACTATTGTCTCAGGATTTATCTATGTTCACCGGTAATTCCTTCGGTTTTTATTATTTTCGTGTCGTTGTTATTAGACTGCGGAGATGTTTATGCAAAGTAAAAAGGTGTTTCTATGTTAATTGCATAACGGAGAAGCAGTCTAATAAGAATGTATTTCTTCTTTCGATAGTTTTAATTAATCGAGAGTAGTATAACAATTTTCTTGAATCCTTTCTACCTTCGTTCTTTTGAATTTCACTTTCAGAGGTCAAGCGATCATCAATCAGTCGGCCGGGACAGCGAGTAAAAGAGAGATCGACTTTCGACTTTTTCTAAAAAAAAAAAAACAATTTCGCCGAGGGTGACTTGAACGGCGAGGAAACGCCGCGGGGGTCGGCTCGAATAATTAATTTCGGCGAGTTCTTCAGCGTCGCCGACTCGGTTTTTGAAGCGTGCCAAGGTCGGGGAGATCCAGGCTATTTCACGGTGGTGGGACGCGCTTTAGATGGGCGGCGATACAGAGGCCCGCCAGCAGGAAGTTCGGGGCTGGTTTTGGTTATCGGCCGGCGTTGGTTGTCCGAGACGTCTCGGAATAGCTTTCCCGGGATCCACCCACGCGGCGACAATTTATTAGCGGGTTATCGCGATCTCGTCGGTCTCCTCCGGGTGCCACCACGGTCCTCCGAGCTGACAAATAGTTTCGGGCTATTACCTTTCGTTCGGCGACGCCGGAACAAGCTTCCCCCGCGAGATCTGGGTCAGAACCGGGCGCATTCTTCCGGACGGGAACACGGCCCACGAGATTTATGCGATTTAAGTATCGAACGTCGATCTATCCCGTTCTAGGAGAGGCGTCGGGGCCTTCCGCCGCGATAAACGCTCCGAAACATGGTATCCGCGTATCAATTAGCCCTTAAAAGACAGCCACGCCGATTACTCAGACTACCCACCCCCCTATGTTGATCGACGATACAGGTCTATCGTTGTTGAGCTCGTTCGTGCCAAATTCTATTCTATTCTACTTTATTCTACTCTACTCTATTCTACTCTATTCCTATTCTATTCTATTTTGTTCTGTTCTATTTTCATTCTCTTCTATTTTATTCTATTCTATTCCTATTTTACTCTACTCTACTCTATTCCTATTCTATTCTATCCCTATTCTACTCTACTCTATTCTATTCTACTTTATTCTACTCTACTCTATTCCTATTCTATTCTACTTTGTTCTATTCTATTTCTATTCTCTCCTATTTTATTTTATTCTATTCCTATTCTATTCTATCTCTATTGTACTGTATTCTATTTTACTTTATTCTACTCTATAGTCTATTCTGCTCTATTCCTATTCTATTCTATTTTGTTCTATTCTGTTGATATTCTACTCTATTCGATTCTACTCTATTCCTATTCTATTCTATACTATTCTATTCTATTCCTGTTCTATCCATTCTATTTCTATTTTATTCCTATTCTATTCAATTCTATTTATTTCATTGCATTTATATATGCCTTCCATCCCCCCTTGTTATCATTACCCTTGTTTTTAGCTCTGTGACTATTACGATTTAATATTTTGTATGTGACCCCTTCAAAGGGTTATTCCTATCACTTTATAGGAAGCAAAATATAATTTACCATCTGAAAGCGAAGAAATATTGAATTTTGACCGCGAAAAGCGGGTTTCCAGACCACCGTGCACCGTATCGACGGCAAATCGGTAGAAACCAGCGAACACACGTGGCAATCCGAGTGAAAATAAATCGGACTTAGACTTGCTCGCGTGGAAGATGATGGCGTCGCCGGGAGAGAACAATTCTGGGGCGAATCAGAGGATAGATCGGATTCGGCACGGGAAAGAAAGAAAAGAGAGCTAGCGACACGGGCAAGCAAGCGGGGGTGGTTTCGTGACCGACCTCACCAGTATCTTAACATCTCGACCGACCCTAAAAGATCGCGTGCCGCGACGTGCGCCAGTTACTGCTACTCTTACTCCTTGGCTGCTTCTATGTATATCGACCGGGTGTCGGCCGAAGGGGGATCGGGCACGATTTCCCGATTCACCTGTCCCTTTTCCTGCTTTCCGACCCCATGCTAACCCACGTGACACCGCCACTCGATCCTCCCCGCATTCCCCATTCAACCAGCCGAATCTCCACACAGCGTGGAGAGTTTCGACAAACGTCGACGACACGGTTTTCTTCCGGCATCTTTTTCTCTGCCAAACGATTCTTTCGTGTCGACCCGTTTCGCCCACCGGAAGCCAATTAATGGAGGCTCTTTAATAACTCTGCTGGAGATGGTTTCGTGATTGTCCTCTGGCTAACAAGTTTGGACGATATTGCATATTGATTCGAGAATGATATCGCTGGGGATTTATAAATAAGACAGATAGAGAGAGAGAGAGATCGGCGAAGCGTCGCGTACGAGGGTTAAAAAACGACCGTTTTTTTATTTTGCAATTCTGTAAATTTCAGAGATTCCTTCATTCGCGCTCATCGAATTTATTCAGCGACAGGATCGAATTTATTTAGATTTTGTAAAGTTTCTACTACAAAACTTGCTTCAACAATGTACAGTAATTAAAAAAAAAAGGTTATCGACTGTCAACAACCATAAAAAGTAGCCACAGGGTTCAAACCATCGCATCTCTTGCTCCCAAATCGTGGCGCAATCTGATCGCGAATTAAGCAGAATTTCCTACACTTATCTCGGTTTAGCATCTTAATCGGTCTCGAAGCATTGTTCCATCGAAGCAAGCGTATCCTCGCGGACTATTTCGACCACTTTATGAAATATTTTTATCCCGCTGCTGGCCGAGAGCCCACGAAGTCCTCGTTAACACGAAGAAAATCCTGACTATGATCGACGTCGCACGATACTCCCGGGGATAAAAGTTTCACGTTGTAATTTCAGGTGCTATAGGACGATCTTCGATGACCTTCGCCTTCTCGATTATCACGTGGGTAATTTTTACGAGCCCCGGATATGGGTCGAGAAGCGGCTTTACACTCGAAATAGCACAAGCGGGCCGCGCAATTATTGCATCGGGACGATGCTATCGTTGAACGGCGTACGATTAAAACGATTTTGTGACAGATAGTTGAGAAAAGCACAATGTTCCCGGGCTTTTCCCTGTGATTAACTAGCTGCCAGCTACGACGGTGTTAGGTTCGCTTCCGGCGACCTTGCTGGACACGAGAATCTGCTCTTTCATCGCGTCGCCTCTCCCGCTATCGAAGTCTCCCTTCGCTCGAGATCTCGTCGGCGCGAAGCTTGCGATTCCAGCGAAAAGAAAGCGACAGAAATAATTCACGGAAATTCTGAAGCATTTCGAAGGATTATACCGCGCGGTTAGGGCGACGGAGAAACGCTTCACGATGCCTCCACTTTATTTAGAACCCGCGAACGGAGCAACGAAATTACCATTTAACTTCGATTAACGCTTCGGCGATGACTTAACCAGCTGGCTGCCGCGACCTTCTTGAAAAGTGACCGACGAGGTATAGTACTTTGTTCAAGCTGTAGACAGCTTTTCTTTTCGTAATAATTATTTATATCTTTTTGCTTGTTCGTTTTGTTGCTTATGTGTGCAAATGAAAATTCAATTTCGTGGAACATCAATTAGACGAAAGTGTCTTTACGATGTTAATAATCGTAAGATGTTAAAAATTATATAATAAATATCCTGAAATTCGTCCGAGATGCCATTGAAAGTGTTGCATTTGATCTATACGTTTCTTTCATAATATATATGCCATGATAAAATGACTATTTCATTGAATACAGAAATAAATTACTGTTCCACAAATAAAGAAATAAAATACTATTTCATTTAATACAGAAATAAAATACTATTTCATTTAATACAGAAATGAATTACTATTTCATTTAATACAAAATTAAATGGCTGTTCCTTGAATAGAGAACTAAATTACTATTTCATAAATACACAGATATAAATTATTACTTCATTTAATACAGAAATCATTTATTATTTCCTTCGACATAGAAATAAATTACTATTTCACTCGGCACAGAAATAAATCACTATTTCATTCGACACAGAAATAAATAACTATTTCATTCGACCCAGAAATAAATCACTGTTTCTTTGCATACCGAAATAAACGACTATTTCAAACGAAGCATATACGTAATACCGTCGTGAGAAATAGTACTTCGAAAACATTTCTATTTCTTAGTCGTTATATATTTTCACTCGGATCATTTTTTTTTCTTTTTAGTAAGCCAAGACACGATTCGCGGCCGGTTCGATGCGCGAAGGACGCGGCCGGGACGTCTGGATTGCGATCCGAAGATCCGCGAGAACATGAAACTTCGATAGGTTCCGATATCGATTCGTTTCGCCGTGGAACACCGTCGTCCGGAGACCTTCGAGCCGACTTTTACGACTCACGACAGCACAAGACATCCGAGATTAGCTCGAAATGATGCCCGTAATGCCGGCATATTAGCCCAGTCCTTCACCGACATCCTTAAACAGCGAGATTTACGTGGCCACGGCACGCAGACCCGGCATTTATTGTCAATCGAGGAGAATTGGAGCAGGAAATTACTGCGGATATGGAATTATTGTTAATCGCAGAGTGGACCGGCTAGCATAATTAGGGCCCGTTTCTTGCGATCAGGCCGCGCCGGATCGATATACTGTGACCTACGGCGGCGGGTGCGCGAAGAATCAACCTTTGACCCGCGTCACCCGCGAGACATGGGTGCCGAAATGAAAACATCAATCACTGAAATCGATTCCTCGACAGAAAACGAAGCTATCATCTCCTTTGCGGTTTCTTCCTACGGCTCTTCGTTCTCGAGAAAAGCGACGAAGTCGCTGTAGCGGAGCAAACAAAATGGCGTCGGCAATCGCGCGCGCGCCGGAGAGTTCGTAGACTATTTCTCTGCGAAGGAAACGTGTTGTAATATTCTAATATCGACGACGACGAAGAAGACGACGATGAGAAAGAAGAGGAAGATGACAACGAAGAAAAAGAAGATGATAACGAAGAAGAAGACGCGACAAAGATGACGACGACGAAGAAGGAGAAGACGACGGCGAAGAAGAAGAAGACGACGGCGAAGAACAAGAAGACGACGACGACGAAAAAAACGCGACGAATATGACGATGAAGAAGAAGACGACGTCGAAGAAGGAGAAGACGACGGCGAAGAAGAAGAAGATGCGACGAAGAAGAAGAAGACGCGACGAAGACGACGACGATGAAGAAAAAGGCGACGACGATGAAGAAGAAGGCGACGACGAAGAAGAAGAAGACGCGACGAAGACGACGACGAAGAAGAAGAAGACGCGACGAAGACGACGACGATGAAGAAAAAGGCGACGACGATGAAGAAAAAGGCGACGACGAAGAAGAAGAAGACGCGATGAAGACGACGACGATGAAGAAGAAGGCGACGACGAAGAAGAAGAAGACGCGACGAAGACGACGACGATGAAGAAGAAGGCGACGACGATGAAGAAGAAGGCGACGACGAAGAAGAAGAAGACGCGACGAAGACGACGACGAAGAAGAAGAAGACGCGACGAAGACGACGACGATGAAGAAAAAGGCGACGACGATGAAGAAGAAGGCGACGACGAAGAAGAAGAAGACGCGACGAAGACGACGACGAAGAAGAAGAAGACGCGACGAAGACGACGACGATGAAGAAAAAGGCGACGACGATGAAGAAAAAGGCGACGACGAAGAAGAAGAAGACGCGATGAAGACGACGACGATGAAGAAGAAGGCGACGACGAAGAAGAAGAAGACGCGACGAAGACGACGACGATGAAGAAGAAGGCGACGACGAAGAAGAAGAAGGCGACGGCGACGAAGAAGAAGGCAACGACGACGTTCTCCAACCGCAGTCTTTTCATAGCTGCGATTAGGATCGCGTCACACCGCGCGCTGCCCCGTGATATATCGAAGAAACAGAAGAAAGGAAGCGGGACCGGGCTTGATCATCATTAGCGGCCGAGATCGCGTGTCGCCGTGACTAAAGCGTTACTCGGAAGAAACGTTGTCGTGACACGAGTATCGAGGACTTCCATCGGGCGCGCTCGCTGCTATCAACGCGGGCGAAAATCACGAGAAGCAAGCAAGCAAGCCGGTCGTCTTTGTGTCAGACGAACGGAGCACGTTTCGCCGCCCGGCGAACGCGATTCTCGCGTTTTCCATCGCTCGCTAATCACCGCGGTTGCGTTAACTATTTTAACGACCAGCGCCGTCGGCCAACAGCTGTTTTAATTGAAGAATCTGATGCGTCGTCGCCGACTTTTTCGCGGAGCGAACCGACCAGCTGCGTGCTTCGACGCTGAACCCTGCCGTCGGCCATCGAACGACTTAATTTTTCATTTTAAAGTCTTTTTATATCGTTGATATTAATGTTAATTATTATATCGTTAATATTATTAATATTGATGTTATTCATATTATTAATATTATTAATATAATGCTTATTATGCTTATAATAAAGCTAATAATGCTTATTATTATTATATCGTTAATATTATTAATATTAATATTATTAGCATAATTGACATTAATATTATTAACATCATTAATATTAATACTATTAATATTATTATTATAAAAGTAGACCGAGGATTCGATGCATCCACAAGAAAGACATTATTAAAAATAAAAATAAATATCTAATTAGGCCAACGTTTCTCGCGATCGACGAAGACACTCGAAAGAAACGTCGAACGACGATTTTGTAAATTTTCGACGAATTTGACGACTCGATTTTCGTGTTCGTGTATTTTCGGCGATTCGGACCACCGTGGCGACGCGTTAGCAACGCGGAATCGCGGTCACGCGACCGCCGGTATCTCGACGATCTCGTTGAACTCACCGCCGGGCATGAAGATGTTCAGGTAGAGGCAATCCTCGCTGACCTCGGGATCGGGTTGATCGGTCGGCAGCAGCCTCTGGTACAGCTTCTCGTGCAGTTTCAGCCTGTTGGTCACCTGCTGGCAGGACGGCGCGAATTGCGTCGCGTTCCTGATCCCGTTCCACGACGGCAGAGGCTCCGTAACCGGCGCCATGAACCGTAGCTTGCGGACCGGCGGCTGGGCATACGGTATGCCCAAGTACTGTATCACTTTCGGCGGCCGGCTCATCGGCACCTGTGCTCGCAAAAGCGCTGAGAATCGTACGCTGAACTCTCGAATTTCTGGGCGGAGGGCGGAGGGCGAAGGGCGAAGAGTGAAGAGCAAAGTGCGAAGGGCGAAGGGACGAAGGGACGAAGAGCGAAGGAGCCAAGGCCGAAGGGCGAAGGCCGGAGGGCGAAGAGTGAAGAGCGAAGAGTGAAGAGCGAAGAGTGAAGAGCGAAGAGTGAAGAGAGAAGAGCAAAGTGCGAAGAGCAAAGAGCGAAGAGCGAAGAGCAAAGTGCGAAGAGCAAAGAGCGAAGAGCGAAGAGTGCAGAGCGAAAAGCAAAGAGTGAAGAGCAAAGAATGAAGAGCAAAGTGCGAAGAGCAAAGAGCCAAGGCCGAAGGGCGAAGGGCGAAGAACGAAGTGCGAAAAACGAAGGGCGAAGGGGCCCGACGAATTCGACGCTCGAGGGTGCAGCAATTTCTCCCTAATTAGCGCTCGGATCGCGCACAAAAGTGGACATTTCGGGAAGAGGAGACACCATTCGAGCCTTCTGGCTAGTTTTTATAGCTTCATAGAGTTAAATTCTTTGAACGTTTTCGTTGTTTTAAATATCATGTAGCTATTTCTCTTGGAAATGCATCAAATCCTCGGTCTACTTTTATGACAATAATATTAATAATATTGATAATATTTAATACGAAATATGCGAAAAAATCGTTGGGCGAGTTATTGCACCCTTAAAAAGAGACAATCGGTGACTATAAAAACGAGACGCGGGGCTCGAACAATCGTATCTCCGTTTCTCAAATTGTCCATTTTTGTGCGCAATCGGAACATGAATTAGGATGAAATTACTGTAATCGGATCGAAGAGACCAGCAATCACAGACTCGGAACACCGTTAACGACTAACGACCGTTCATCCGTCGAGAAACGTGCATTGCTCGCGTTTCGCGGTTTCTGGAGATCTTTGTTAGATCTTTATGTAATAATAATTGGGTTCACATTTGTCGAATGAGACGTGTTCAATTTTGTGTTCGAAGATAAACGAAATAATAGAATACAAAAATTGTTGCATTCAAGAACAAGCAAAATAGAACAGTAAAAAAATTGTTGCATTTAAGAACAAGCAAAATAGAAGAGTATAAAAAATTGTTGCATTCAAGAACAAGCAAAATAGAAGAATAAAAAAATGTTGCATTCAAGAACAAGCAAAATAGAAGAGTAAAAAAATTGTTGCATTCAAGAAAAAGCAAAATAGGAGAGTAAAAAAATTGTTGCATTCAAGAACAAGTAAAATAGAAGAGTAAAGAAAATGTCGCATTAAAAAATGAACGACATAAAAGAATAAAAAGATATTTTTGTACCGGAAAGTGAACGAAATAATGGAATAGATGTGATATGTGTCTCATTCGATAAATTGTATAAAGTTCCGCCTGGAAACGAACGATAAACACGCCGAGGTTTCGAGCAATTTCCGGAGAGATTTACTACGGCAGAATATGTAACCGGTTCGACGCGGCGGCGGGTCGGGTCGGGTCGGGTCGGGTCGGGTCGGGGTTGGCCTCTCTGGTGGCCACCTTTGCGAAAAACTCGGCAACGGGGTAAATGATGATTTATTCATATTAACGAACGAATGTCATGCGCGGGAACTGTGTGGATGTAATCGGTGCATTACATTCCACATAACAGCATCATTTCGCGCGAAATGCGAGAGGGCGAGGGTGCCGCGGATATTATACTTTGAAATGAGAACCGAAGTGGCACAGTTCGAAAAACCAGTTTTTCTTTTTTTATTATCATCGAACGGGCAATGAAAAAAGGAACGAGAAAGAAAAAAAGTCGTTTCTACCTTAATTCTCGACATAACCATAATCGAATGCATAATGAATAAAATGAATAAGATATAGTCGTCCATAATTTAATTCCCGAAGTAATTAAAATCGAGCATATAATTGAAAAAGAATAAGAAAACAAAATATAACATTGTTATTTTAATTCTCAAAATAATTCGAATATATAATGAAAAAAGATTAAAAAATAAGATAGACATTGTTATCTTAAAATTCGCAAAGTAATTTATAATCGAATATATAATGAAAAAGGAATAATAAATAAAACAGACATATTTTAACCGTAATTCTCAAAGTAATTATTAGACTGCGGATCTTTATGCAATATAACTTGAATTATGCAAAAATAATGTTCTTCGTCGATTGCAACAAACGCGAATTAAACAGTAAATACCGTCTTCCTTTAATAATTGCAGTAAATCGAAATTAGTAAATATTTATTATATATATATATTTAATTATTAAATATGAATTATATATTCAATTATTAAATATTTCCCCTGAAATTCTGCAAATATTTTCGCTCTGCGAAATTTCACCTACCTTTATTTTTCGCAGCCGCATAAAGTCCGCAGTCCATTAATTCGAATCGACCGAATAACAATAAAAACCGAGGAGACAGTCGTTCGAGAATCGCATCCCTTAGACAATCGAGACATCGCGCCGTGCACGTCGCATCGATTCGAACGATTTAGGCTCGTGGAGGGCTCGCATGTGCTCCTCTCTGCCTTCGGCCGCGTAATTATTCGAGCGCGGCTCCCTCGCCGCGGCCGCCGCCGCTGCCGGATTTTCGTGCGGCACACGGCTGATATATGCGTCTCGGCCGCATACGGCCGCGTCTTACGCGGTAAAAGTGCGACGACGGTGCTCGCCGCGCTGCACCCGGGTCATGGAATGACCCGGGGTAAAACCGCCGGCGGTAAAAATAAAACGAGCATACCTACCCCCGGCGACCCTGTTTTCGCGATCAAAATATTATTACACGTCACGGAAACGCGGCAGCGAAAATATGCAAATCCCGGTCACGGTAACGAGCGTGTCAACGAATCGTGGTGCTCGGTTTGTGCTCGCGCCAGTCGAAATCTCGTCGTCTCACTAGCACATATGTATTTGACGAGCTGAATCCCGACGCGAAAATATTCCGCGGAATCGAACGAATATCGTCGACTTTCAACTCCTTCGACTTTTCAACCCCGTCGACTTTCAACCCCCTCGGACATTGCAGAATCCTCCCCCTCCCCAAGAAACTCTGATCGTTGGACTGCGGATTTTTATGCAAAATAAAAATGCTGCGGACGGGGGTCGAATGTGCGTGTGTATTTTCTCTTAATAAATGTTGCATGTTGAAAAGAATAATAATATTCATATAATATAATATTTATATAATATTAATAGAATACAATATATTATATTTTCTTATATGATATTAATGTAATTTAATATATTATATTTTTTTGATATAATATATGTGTGTAACACTTCTTTGTTGTAAAAATATTGAAGATTTGCAAACGACGGAAAGAAGGGGAGAGAGAAAAAGAAGATATATGGTACAAAAGAAATGGAGTAATAAGAAATAATAATAATATAAATAACAATATAATAATAATATAAATAATATAATAACAATATAAATAATAATAATAACATAATAATAATAAAAATAATGGCATAAACGATAACATCATAAATTAAATGGCAATAACATTCAGAAAACAAAGAACAATATTTGACGATAACAATGGAAAGAAGTAATAAAATACCGTGATAATCGCAAAATAATGTGATCGTTGCATAAAAGCGCTGAGATAGGAAGACTTTTTGATACCGCAAACGAGTTTGTTCCAGTATCCCGTTCCGGATGGCGTCGCGTTTTATTCTTCGAAATTTTCGTATTTTATTCTTCGTAGTTTTCAGTCGCGGAAAAAAATGCCATGTTATTCGACGCGAGGAGATCGTGATCACGTAACGCGCAACCTTTTTGTCGGCAGCATGAAGATATTATCGCTAATCGGATACGCGTACGCTGTGAAACGAGCTCGTACTTAGACCGAGATAAAAATTTCGCTCATTCCCTGTGGGAGGTTTTTTCTAATTTTCCTTCATCTTGCAAACAAAAACGGTTGACAATAACATCATTAACAATCAGAGACTATAAAAACGAGCCGCGTGGCTCGAATAATTATACCACCCCCTCTTCTTGAATCATCCAGTTTCGTTCACAAGCCGAAGAAAAATTGGGAAAAATCTACTGCAATCGCGATCATTTAACCCTTTGCAGTCGAAGCTATTTGATTTCGAAATCCAAATCTGATTTAATCTGATCTAACAGTATTTCAATTTTATACAAATTTATTGCGATTCATGCGTATAGATTTGAGCCTATTAACAAGTACAATAAAATTTCAACAATTTTCTGTTATAAATATAAACGAGTCTAATGCTCTAAAACTAGTATACCAATTTTTATCGATGCTTCAAAGTCGCCACTCGAGTGCAGAGGGTCTCAACATCGCGAAGAACGTTCGTTCACAATACTCCACCCCCACGCGTCTCCCACCCCAAATTTCTATATCGCGTAAAAATCCACGTTCCGCCAAATTCCGCCAAATATCTCCATCCCTCTCGGTTTCAGCGACCCGTAAAAATTCGAACCGCGCTCGAAAAAACGAAACATTCGCGACGAAGGGGTTTAAAAAGTCCTCTACCGACGAGGGGGTTGGCGTTCCCGCGGCGGGAAATCCGGGGTAACCGCAGTAGTCGCGGGCCGAAACACCACCGTTTGGTTGGATCGCATAGCAACCGTATTATCCACGGGGCCGGCGGGGTGGGCGGCTCTTTCTCTCTAGGAGAGAGAGACCCAGAGAGAAAGTCGGGCGAGAGAGACTACTATTGTAGAACAAAATAACGAACGGCGCGGCGCGGCGACGTCGACGTCGGCCGCGGGCTCGGATCGCAGAAGAAAATTGGTCGCACCTCCTTGCCGGCGAGCGATCCTTGGTCCGGGATGTTGACCACGGGCTGCTCGCGACCAAGGCCCTGTCGCGCGTGGGTCCTCTGGGACCGCGTAACCGGTATCCCGGCGAACAACTGCGGGAACAGAGCGAGAACGAGCCACGCCGGACACTTCATTCTGCAGACTGACTGATTTGCTTCGGAAACAATCGGCGGTTGCCCGACGTCGTTGCCTCTCTCCTCCCGGGCCTCGGCTCGCCGTTGCGTGACTCCGTCGACCACCCTCGGCGGCCAGTTTTCTCCTTCCTCGGCTTCCTTCTCGAATACGACGCGGTGCGGTGCTCGGGGCCTGCGCTCTTTCGCCCTCGACTTCCCTTCGGACCGACGGCGACGGCGACGCGTTCGGCCACCCTGGCCGACGACGTGTACGCGTCGTTTGTTCGCTAAAATAGACGAGATTTACGGATAAATGGAACGGTAAAGGAACGTTGGAAATGTATAGGGGCGCGACGAATTAAAGGATGGAGGTTAGGTGCGACGCGACGCGATTATTTTGGGGGAGGATTTTTAGTTTGGATGAAAAGAGGCGCGGTCTAAATTGTACCACCACCGAAATCGACGATTTTAGATATATACGTAGTCATTTTATTTATTCTTACTTATTTTATTTTATTTACTATATGTGTGATATTATACCATTATAAAATATATATATAATAACATATATGTACAGTTATTTTACCTTTTTATTTATTTATTTATTTCTATTTATTCTATTTTATTTATTTTATTTATTTCCATAATTTAAGGGTATGTACATTCATTCGAAATCATGTGAATAATATTAATATTAATAATATGACTAGTATTAATATGAATAATATTAATAATACGAGTAATATTAATAGGAATAATATTAATTACTACGGTATTTCTATTTTATATAATTTATTGCAATTTCATTTTATTTTATAATACATATATAACTGTAATAATAACTGTATAATATCGCATATATAATAAATAAAATAACTGTATATATACAACATATATACATATATTATTATATTATTATTAGTATATTATACATATATATACATATATTATTATATATATATATATATATATATATATATTCTATTATTATATATTAT